TCAGAAGGAGTCATCTTGCATCATGACAACGCAAGGCCTTACACAGCAGCCCGAACGATGCAGACCATAAACGGGCTAGGCTGGGAGCTGCTCTCTCATCCCCCTTACAGCCCAGACCTTGCCCCTTCAGACTTTCACCTGTTTGGTCCCTTGAAAGCGTTCACGAGAGGCACGAAGTTTGAAAGTGACGATGAAGTCAAGTGTTTGAGTGACTGGCTGAGATATCAGTCCAAAGATTTTTACGCTGAGGGAATACGGAAGCTTGTGCAGAGATGGGAAAGTGTGTGGCAGTGCTGGGAGACTACGTTGGAAGATAAAAAGTAAGCTTCTATCTGTATTAGAACTCCTTATACCGAAAAATTCACCTTATTTATTGAATGACCCTCATACTTGTGTTCTTGTCGTGAAACACTCCCCGAAGATAACCGACACCGACCGTGCGACTAGGACAAAGAACATGAGGATCACTCACTCTGTCACTCGTGACCAGATAACTACAGCGTTTGAATGCAAAAACGGCCGTCACTGAACATGGTTCCACGTAACGACAAGTGTAGTGGATTAAAATATCCACGATGAGTCAGAAGCGACATTATTTGTGCAACTAGCGGCCTTACGTTTCCCCACCACTGTACTGGTTTAAGTCAACTAGAATGTGAGAGGCAAATCAATCTGGCTGAGGTGCTCTGGTTTTGTTAAACATGCAGAGCAATCCCAATGGTCAGCTGCCTAATATCTTGCGTGAAAAGTGTGAAAAGCTGATTGCAATAGTCCAGAAGATGGCGAGTTTCAGAACTTTGCCAGTAGAAACTTTTAACACCGCTCTTGCTCTACAGCAAACCCTTCAGAGCTTTGCCCCTAAGTGGAAAACTAAAGTCAGTCTTGGTAACCGCCCAATGGCACATGCGCCACCTGCTCCGACCATTACTAACCCTGTAAGTGGGCAAGCCACATCCGGCGTTGCTGTTGTTAACTCATCCACAGGTACTACGCCTGGCAAGGGTGTTTCCGGTGCAAAAGAAGTTAGTTGCATTGCGATAACGGTGTCCATGGCGTTGCTTTGTTGTCCTCGGCCAATTAGGTGTCGAAAACGCATCGAACTGAATGTTGCCGGACGGTGCTGACTCGTATGAACGATTTCTTGTTGCTTAAATATGCCGAGCGGTAAGGTTTCCTTATTTGGTCGTGACGTTATTATTGTGCCCACAAGACATAACCCAAAGGAGCCTGGATGCTCGACAATCTTTGGAAGTCAAGAACCGAATACTGCAAGCGTATGAGGTGGGAGACGATTGAAAGCACGTCGCTAACTTGCTTAATGTGAATTTCAAGGCTCGCCGCTGTAGGATAGTAGTGTTAGAGTCCCTAGAACCAAGAAGACCACAAGGGGTGCTCGTCGCAATGTTCCGACAGTAAGTCACCTAGACTCTCTGCTGGAGTGAGTATCCGAAGTACCAAGGATAACACTTGCAACACTTTGTCTGCATTTGAAGGCAGAGTAAGAGGTTGAGGTCAGTAACAGTACCGTAACCCGATACCTAGACGGTCGGCTGATAACAATGAAGAAGTTGCACGCAGTTGCCGAGTCAATGAACACACTGGAGAATACAAGGCGACGGAAATCGTCTGTCATGCATCTGCTGAATTTTAAGGCAGTAGGACGGTAATAGGTGTGGATTGACGAGACTAATTTCAATCTCTTCTGCGCGCGCACTCGGGTCCACACACCACGCGGGAGCCGCGCAGTGTACTGTGGCAAACAATCGTGGCCAAAACGTGCAGGTTTTTAGAGCCATGACAAAGGACGGGTGGATTGCTTTTTCCGTGTTACGTGGCAGTTTCCACAAGCAAATGTGCGCATGGTGGCTACGACAGGTGCTTGATGACAACGATTCCGATTTTATCGAACGGTGTTTTTTGACTTGTGACAACACCCGTGCCATGCAGACTTGGAAACTGTTCTCCAAGAGTCACGATACTGATCCGGATGGATGTCACGATTAACATCTTACTCTCCGGTGCTGAACCATATCTATGGAATCTGGGGAGTACTCAAAACTTAGATGAAGAAACGATGAGGAGCAGGTATGTGGAAATGCTCCGAGACGACCCTCATGGTGTAGTCAGCAAAACCAAGTGGCGCGTTAGTTTTTTGGAGCAGGTAGTGTCGGAGGCAAGTGATTGTGTCACACGGAATCACAACGAGAAAATGGTGCAACACGGGACGGCAAATTGCGGACGTCTACTTCACTTAGCCGATTTGTAAGCTTTTCCCTTTTGTATAAAATATTCGTTTGTAAATCGAATCGGACTTTTTCTTACCTCATTGCCAGTTGGGATAGTGGTGCTACACATGCTCCACTCCATTAGCAAGTAGTGTGCAACGTATAAGAAAGTACGTTTCTGTGACATGAACCGACTATGTGAGAAATAGAAGGCTAGTAACACGGTGGTTAATAACTCGTTGGGGCTAAAGTGAGTTCATATCTTTTTGGTCTCTTTCGTTGTTGTATATGTGTGCTGAGCAATTGAATAGCGAGTCATTCGCGAGCTGATAAGGGGAACACGGTTTAACGGGCATGATTGTAATACATCAACAGTAATCGTTTACCTTGGGAACAGTATCCAATTTCTTTCTGATTACAAACCATCCTACTGTACTTGAGATCGGTACGGTTTATCTATACTTCTCATCTGGGCAGAGTCGTTTCCGTGTATTTCGTATCTAAGCGTGTAAGCATCTGCTCTTATAGAATTCAAAGATGCACAGGTATGTCTAAAGAAATGGGATGAATCTGCAAGGTATTGACAAGCTTACAACGTCAAAAGCTGCCTACTTCAGAATAGAGAGCAAATGGTGCAAATTGCAACGCATGAATTCAAAAAACTGCGCTAATTTGGGGGTAAGCATGGAGCGTCGAAGAGGTCAAACGAAAGGAACGGACTTTGTATAACTGTTGGATATATCGATGGGATTTGCTGCAGAGTTAAAACAGAAAATACTGTCTCTCATAAACATTTTGACTAATGCGACTCCAAAGATTTCAGAAAACCATTAACTTGCGAATAAATATGCTCTTCTTACACCGTTAAGTCTGCTTAATAATAAGTATAGTTTTCCGCCTAGTAAATTCAACGAAGATATAGAAAAAACGGAATCTTTGCCGAGATAGGAAGATTGCGGTATTTTCTGAAAGCTACATAAAGGACAATTTAATGGACCTACTGAGCTTTTAAGCCTCGTACCGAAATATAATTTGGGGAGTCTGCTGCGCATATTTCTTACCCGAACTATTAGCATAGCCAGCTGTGGGAGCGCATTATCAAAACGTAAGCCCGTAAGGAGTTACGTACAATCGTCATTGAAGAAGACAAACCTCACTGTCGCAGTTCTCAACATAGAGAGCGAACTTGACGATGGTGAGTGTTATCAATGTTACTGCCTCAAGTAATGCGCGAAAAGTGTATCTGTAACTCTTGTTCACGAGTACTGTAACAATAAAATTTCCTGAATTTACGGCAGCACGGTATAATTGCATTTTTGCTTGTTGTTATATGAAACAAAGTATTTAAGAGCTGTCTGAAATCATGGTGGTTTACGGATTTGAAGCCGCCAGAGGTGCGGCAGTTTTACATCCGTCTCGGGCGGTAAGCTTAGTCACTACGCCACTGCAAACACATGATAATTTTGGGTACAATGATACTGGCTACCGGCTGTGATGGAATGCGAAATGAATATCAGCTCTTCGCACCAAACAGGATTTGTTACAAAGATAGCGTGGGGCATGCTCCGAACTCTTCTCCTACAATATCTCAACTGCATCCTATTACGCATCTGCTGACCCACCGCTTCACTAGTCTCAACCGCGTCCTGCCACCCGTCATCGCTCTGTGGATGAATTGCACTCGAGCATTTGCGGTCGGTACTCCTTCGCCCCCTCCGTGATTAGATTGCCCTCTACAACTAAATCCGAACTCTTATTGGCTGACGGCGCATAACCCGTGCGAGAGCTACACGAAAGCAAGCGCAAAAGCAACCACCGAGGCATGAAGTGGAAAACTTGTAAGAGTATAAGATGAAGTCGAAATCCTTACGGCTGAAGTTGAATGCCCTATGGACTTAAGTGTCTGGGAAATGGTGTGGTTTATCAGCACACCTTGCAAGATCTTTCGTTAAATATTTTTATCAGCAATATGTCCTAGTACATTTTGGTAACTGGTTACGGGCTCTTGCATGCGACCCATCACACCTTGCATGGTATTGCTTGCTACTCTTTGACCTGCGGGTCTTTCAATAAGTAGCCTCCTGTTCACGTGTCCACCGTCGTCTTGGGGTTAATTTGGTTGTTGTTAGCTCCGCATGAGACGCAGCATTAAAATCTTGCATCTAGTATATATTGCTGGTCGCACACCATATTGTCTTGAAATTGTTTTATTGGAACTTGGTATGAGCCCGTTATTTAGTTCCAGTCTGTTTTCGGTTAAATCAATAAAGGCTATGGAAGCGAGTTTAGCCTCGCTTAAGCCAATCTGTATTGTCAAACTCAATCGTGCTCCGCCTAATTTGCTAGTTGTCTTTGGTATTATTTTTAGTTCACTGACAAGTGTTAAGGACATAAAGGCAATTTTTCAGACGCACTACTGACGTACGGTTGGGAAAAACCCACATTAACTATCAAGATATGCCGTAACCGAGTGCAACTGTTTCCTTTCCTTAGGGTATTTATCGTTTAGATCTCAAAATGCGTTTAAATGGCACTGCGTTTCACAGGGGGTGGGCTATGCTCTGGCACAGTGTCACTGATAATAATATCTTATGATAAAGCGTACAAAAGCTATTAAACTGAAATAACATTGCCTCCTAGAAGAGCTAAGCTACTACTCTACATTTCACTCGCACGCCTTGACGAATAAATAAACCAATATTAACTTGTTCCAAAATTGATGAGTCAAAGGAAGAAAGTTTAACTTATGTTAGTTGAAACCAGTGTAAGAAGCCTGTCAGAAAATTTCGCTTGTAAATCACAGAAGCGCAGTGGAATGATACAGACCGGGAAGTGAATCATAGAACGTGAAGTATCAATGCTGTCTTTAGTTGTGTAAGCCGCAATCCGAAAGACAAGAAATATTGACCGGCCGGTGGTTGCAAATTCGAACTTCACTGTATCATTTGAGCCTACAAAATAGGACACAGAGTACGTTGGCAATAGAGAAAACTAAATGCCAATAAATAATATCAAATTGGGGGCATGTAATCGTGATCTCCGATAATGTCAACACGGCCTCAAAACGAGCAGTGTTTATGCTTCGGAACGACGCAAAACAGCCCTTTTCGATCTACTACACATCACACGTTCAAAGTCATTCAACCCAAAATGCGCAGGGTTTGGCTTGTATTTCTTCCCATCCAGTATCGAAAGGTTCAACGCCCATCGTAGCCAACAAATAAAATAATGTAATGGCAGGTTTCCGCATCTACTGTCCTAGTGATCGATTTGATCATGGTTCGCTACAATGTGAAGCGCAGCCCATGTTGAGATTGTGTGTCGCATTCCATTCACACAATGTGTACTTCAAAATAATCCTCAAGCGACATAATATGATGCTCAGAAATGGCATAGACCAAGGAGGACTGTTCGGACGAGTTATGCGATTTGCGACCTGCTGTTCTGGCTGTGCTCAGATTCTTAGCAGCGGGACGCAGTTATTGCTTACTACGGTCATCTTTACCATCTGAGAGTGTGTTTAACTGCTAAACTTGTAAACTTTCATCGTTGCTTATCTCTAAGCAGAGGCAGCCAATCCATAGTGCTGTCGAGTAGGCTCCACAGTTACAAAAATGTCGTCTCTTCAGAGCATTGCAATACCACTACTAAAAGCTAGTCCCGTTATTATGAGCTTTTCTCTACTGGGAAGGCCATGAATGCCACGTAGGACATCATTCCAAACATAATGTGCTTGCTCACATGGGTAATAAGGACCTCGTTTCGCTAGAGGGCTATGTTACACATTCATATTTACAATGTTCAACTTTGGTGTTTATTTCTACAGGTATGTTGAGGAAGTCTGCTCCGTAGTGAGTGTACTAGTCAAAAACTATAATCAGATTTTCTAGCAGGAAAGTCATGTTTCTTCTCCCAAACCACCCTAAGCTGAAGATTTTCTCCATTAGGCTTAATAATGTAGCAAATTCGTTAAGACCCAAACCGTGTTTGCTAACCCTTCTTGTGTCCTAGTCGAAACACAGACATGAAGGAGCTCAAACCTAACGTATTTTGCTCTCTTAGAGTATGGGAAGCCCCATACTCAGACTGTATCTGTCCTCAGCTCTTTAGCATTCAAAGACGAGTTATTGACACACTGACACGTGTACATTACGTGGTATAATCCAGATTTGTCAGGAGATTAGGTACCGTAAGCCAACAATGCTCCCATCTGTCTGCGTCACAAATATGGGTAGGCTGTCTTACATCTGCATGTGAACCTCACGGTGACTTCGCTAACAGAATATATAGCCTGTTGATACACCTATTCTTGACTTTGAGATTTTCGCTCTAGTCATTTCATCAAGCCTTATCTTTATACTCCTAATAAAGGATTGTTCCATTAGTATTCATCTGCTCATGCACGAGATCAAGAACCGGAGGGGAGATTGGAGTTTGTTCGGGGGACAAAGATGACAGGTTTGTTAACCACAATTATTGATACGGCCTATAGCATCTTGGGCTGTACAACATGGAAACGAAAAGTACAACTTGACGCTCCTCCAGTCCTCACACTGTCATCGTGTCACCAATGGGACTTATTGGGACACTTATACCATTGTAGAAACTGCTGTCACGTACCAGTTAATGAACCGCATAATTAAATATTGTCTTAAGCAATCACACGGTAATCAATGACGTCGTTTTTACATCGATACGTACCCCAAGCGTTATACCGTAATTTTCTCATCCAAAATGGCCTTCAAGTACTGATGCAGGAATCTATACTGTTCCTGTCACATTAAAAGAACAGTAAAGACATAGAAATGAAGAAAGTGGTAACACAGCACTTGCAAGCCCGTAAAATGTTTAGACGGTGTTGTACTGAAGCTCATGCGATGTTTTGGAAGACACATATTACATATCTTATTTGGATAAGCGTACAGTACTGCTAACTTTCACTCTTGACGCCTGCCCTTCTTCAAGTTGAGTGAACATGCCCAGTTTTTATAATATATTATGATGTTAAATGCGATAAATCATATGAGTCAGTAAATAACTGCAGCTACAATTCAATGAGATGTTATTTTTGGTTTGCACACAAGGTTTGTCTACGGTGAAACATCGTATGTTTCTGATCGGGAAGTCATGTCGTTGCAACATGCAGTTTACATCACTATACGACTATGTAGGATACAGGAGGCAATATGGATGACTCGCGGTAGCTGAATGGCAGAAAGAATTAATTGGGACACAGTTACCAGTTGGTTGTGATTTTCGAGGGTGTCAGTTGGCTGCAATAACAGAGGGAAATGACAACCTAGGTGTATTTCGGTACAACAGAACGAGCAAGCTGTGGACTTGTATGGGGTAGTTGAAATAACTCGCGGTGTTTAAGTCCCGTCCATCGCTCGCGTGAAAGTGTCAGCAAATTAAGGAACCTAGTTGCGTGTGTTGCAGAACGGAAGTTTACACGTACGCTTTCTCATCTACGTCGTTTGTGCTCGATAGGGCAGTATAGATGCAGAACTATAGAAGACTGAACAAAATGAACAATTGAGTAATAATGAGCTGTGAATAACAGCCGTGTCTAAGTGAGCAGCGTGGGGGATATAGTTCATCAACGGAATTAGTGAAAAATAACCACCGACGTTCGTTGGCCAGGAGCGGCAGAATTAAATCCAGTGGTATAAATGTGGAAGAGGCATATATTACCGTTTGGAATCAGTACATGAGAGCATTGTATGTTTATCGAATGTCTCGTGGCGGATGCCTGCTCAGAAAGCAGACTAGAGAAGAAAGCATTGAATTGTGACTCAAAGAATCTTGTGTAGTTACTCAGTAGAATGCTACAATTATTTTATTACACTTAACTCATGGTAGGACCCATAAAACCTTAGCTCGCCTAGAAACGTCGTGTTTTCGGCGTGTGGCGCCGGAGAATAATTAGTACCGTTGGCACTAACCGGCTTTTGTACCATTCGCATGCGGCACATTCGCAGTTGCCTCACTGTTCCAGCAAGATCGATGTAGCAATCCGGGTTCTTTAGGTGTTGCAAAAGCAGGCAAGCCACGATGAATGTCCCGGTTCGTCCGATCCCTGCGCTGAAATTGAGTGGGATTGAGTGCGACAGAGGCCGAGGTGATGAGCTAAACAGATCTAACATTTCAGAGAATTTTTCTTGCAAATATAGATTACCGCTTGAGTGCGGGAGCTGCTAACCAATTGAGCCATTTGTGCCAGGGCTGTCCAAAGTAAATACTACTGCACTGGTTGCCGATAAAATACATTTTGAGCGCACTTCAACATAACGGGTCCTTGTACTTGAGTGATATTAGATGCAGCTACACAGAGATATCACTTCTTGCTGCTTCCAACCAGTAATCAGAAATCAACAGCGTAGCGCATTGAGTAGTACGAAGGACTAAAAATGTCTAACATTTATAACTCATTTGCAAAATCAACTGAAATTCCACTCAGTCCAAATTTAACAGCCATTAATTTTTTCCGTTTAGAGACCTCTGCACTTTAAAAATATCAGTAACTTGTTACACGAAACCACAGATCTTCAGCCGAACCAAGTCAAATGATAAAATGATACTACATTTAAACCCTAGGTGCCATGGTACCGGATTAAGCCTAATATATGAGCTAAACTTGGCAGGCGTTTTTGGGCAAAGCTCCTGTTCATGGACAATATTATGTGGCTGACAACAGCCGGCTATCGTATGATAGTAAGGTGGTAAGGGTAAAGTAAGCACCTTTCAGCTTTCATTGTCCAGTTGTCTAATTGAATCTACTTCCAAGATCACGGATCATTAATCCTACTCTAAACTAAGTGGTTCAACTTGGAAGAAACTGCCTAAACCACGGGTGTGTGTCACGAGCAAAATGTTGCAACCTCTCATTCTGGGCACGCAGTGGAACCCAGGGCGCCAAACAGCAGGATGAAAAAGATGTATGGTACCAATTTTTATGGGTAGTCAATTTAATTTTCGCTTTTCTATCGTTACTAGGTCTCGTTGCAAACCAAGCGAACATAACATGTTTGTTTAGCGTAGGTGTTGCGTCACTTTAGGTGGGAGCTGCCTGAACCAACCTTTTCAAGGTTTCTTGTGGACCCAACAAAATCCATCCACTAGCAGCTATTAGCCATCAGCTGTGTAGTTTCACTCTGCAGTCATGCTGATTCAACTCAACCGGAGCAGCATTTCATAGGCAAGGTTGACCGGAAATCTCAGGTGACCTGGTATCGGAAGCATTTGTCCTGTAAGCGTTACCTAGAGGGGTCCTGCAGCACGCGCGCTTCCAACCTCAGCTAACAAACGTTTATGTTCTATCTCCTTCCATCCGCAACTTAAAACTGTTTTGTCAGCTAGCCATCCCGTCAAATCTTCACTTAACCACTTCTGTCTTGGCGGTTAGTGTGTGAGGGGAATAATCTGCGGTGGTACACTAGTATTCGGCCTGCAATCCCATACTGCACACGTTGTTACTGTCTTCGAGTGTTAACCTAAGGTTGGTTTTTGGTCTGATTTCCAGATACACATGTTGTCCCATCTGAAGGTGATAGTTTGTTAGGAGGAATGCGGCATATTACGTTTACTGTCTATCCCTACTAATAAAAAGTTTGGCGTCACTATTACTTTAATGCGTCGCCAGATTTTTTGACTGAGATTCAGATATGTTGAAAGCTTTTAGCATTTAATGAAAGGACATCTAGCATCGTTTATGTATCTAACTTCTGCCTGTGATCGCCAAAGTCATGGAAGCGGTGATAGCAGATGCGTTAATGGGATACTTGGAAAACTACGGCATAATTGCGCCAGAACAGCATGGGTTTCGTCAACATCGTTCATGTACGACGAATCTGCTGATAGCTCGTGACAACTGGACCGAGACTGTCGATGAGGGAACAGGAGTCGATGTTGCATTCTTGGACTTTTCGAAAGCCTTCGATCGCCTGGATCATCGAATCCTGCTCATTAAACTCCAACAGTACGGTATCGGAGACCCGTTGTTAGGATGGATCGGTAACTTTCTCTCTGAACGGCAGTTAGTAGTTAGAGTTCGATCATCCTTTTCCGATCCGATTCGAGTGGGATGCGGCGTACCGCAGGGTTCGTTACTTGGGCCTCGTTTGTTCCTGCTTTTCATTAAGGATCTAGTAAGAGTTATTACGTCGAAATTCTTACTCTTCGCGGACGACCTCAAGGTTTGGCGGGCGATAAAACGATCGGACGACCATGAAGTCCTACAGCGTGACTTGAATGAGGCCTGGAATTGGTCGGTGAGAAACGCCCTGCCGTTTAATGTGGACAAATGTCGCGTTGTTCATATCCGCCATCGACAAGTCCACGTCTACAAGCTTGGGGCACACGATCTGAAGACCACCACTCAGGAACGCGACTTGGGTGTGCTGGTACAGGAAGACCTCGGGTGTTCCAAACAGTCAGATTCCGCTTCTAAAAGGGGCAACCAGCACGTTGGACTCCTGCGAAGAGCATTCGGAATTTTGGATCCATCCATCTTCTCTTTGATGCTGAATGCCTACGTGCGTCCTCACGTCGAATATGCAATCCAGGCCTGGCAACCCTGGCTAAAACGTGATCTTGCAGCGCTTGAGACCCCACAGCGTCGAGCAACGAAAATCGTCAAGGGCTTGTGCCACACTCCTTACCAGGAACGACTGGAGATACTCGGAGTGTTCAGCGGACGGTACCGGCGACTTCGTGGAGACCTCATACTAGTGTACCAGATATTGAGCGATCCCAGTCACGTATGCCGCCACCTCTTGAAGCTCAGCCCGAACACTAACCTTCGCGGTAACAGTTTAAAGCTGAGCCAACAGTACAGTCGTCTAGACTGTCGGAGAACCTATTTTTCCCTCCGGGTCTGCGGGCCCTGGAACGCCCTTCCAAACTCAGTAGTTTGTGCCCCCACATTAGATACGTTTAAAAAACGATTGGACGTCGCACTGAGCGCCCTGCGCTTTGTTTTATGAACGAAAACGCTTGTATATATTTAGGCTGACCAGCCTCTTTGGATTTATACCCCAAATTCACGGTCGTAAATCTGTGCGAACCGGTGAGTACTCCATTTTGACTTGCTACCATCACCAACGATAACAATTTCTTAGCCAGTTTTGCGTCGTACCACTTTATCCCGCTAAAACTGTTATACTTCTACCTTTTATCACACTGAGACTCCTTACTTCAACCACTTATGTGGTTTGCCAATTTGTTAATATTTCTATTGCCAACCTGCGGGACTCGTTAAGTGTATGCTTTTTTACCCGTCATATACCATTGTTCCATTGTTCTATTGTTCATGAGAAATGTGTATTTGCCAGGGTAGTAGTCTGTGGCTACAACCCAATTATTAACAACTCATTTGTCCCATAACATATAAAGTCGTTACAAGTAAGACCTGCCAATTCTCCCACTAACGGCATAGCGTTGATTCTTCTGTTGCATAGACATGGACCACTTTGTCCAAAACTGCTGACTAACTGGATGAGCCAACATGAAACTGGATTCAAGGAGGACAATTTCTGATTGATACAAGCCCCTTTTTGACCTTGTTGTGAAAGTTAAATGACTACCCAATATGTACAGCCATGTACCGACTTAAGTAAAGATGTTATAACTACTCCTGTGTGTCTCAGGGGCAAACATACCTAGCTTTTCGGGGAAGGTACTAATTTATAACTTTATCCAACTGGATGACTATAGCTCGTGATAGAGATGGGCCATTCTGGTGGCCTTACACTTATCGTATGCTGACAGAGGCGATTCTAGGTGTAGCACACGAACTGCTTTTGGCTATCACAGAACTTGAACAGTTGATGTAGCTGTAAAGTCAATTGAGTGAGGAAAACATACACACTTATTTTTGAACATTGTGTGGCCATCAAAATAATGATGTGCCTAGGATCGCGCGCCATTCTGAAAAACATACCTCGAGGTGGGTTTCGCTAGCAATCTGGTAAGCACGAAATCTTACACCAATTTCGCGACAAAGAACGTGGCAAATCTCTTCCTTTGATGTGATCCGCACTTATTGTTTCTCCTTGAGATGTCGCAGCTTGGCATTACAACACAGTTCCCGACCATGCGACTCTTTCCAGGCAAGAAAAACTACGACGGTCATCGGTGTGTAAGGATGGTTGAATCACGAGTGGTCGTGCATGTATGAAGTTTAACATTGGCTGGCTGTGTATCTTCTTAGCTATCGCCAAACCAGCGACGACATGTAAAATCTTACAAGAACAAAACGGTGCTCAACAAATACTGCTGCTCTGAATGATTTTCGAAGGTGTATTCCACATTCTCCTGACTATCGGGCAACAGTATGCTAACCGCGTAGACCAACTAAACTACTATTTCCGCAAGAAGTACTTGGATAGCTGCGTTTTGAAACATTGATGGGCACCGTTTCGAGAATCAATATGCATGCAAGTTGGGTGTTAATGTAGATATAAGAGGGAGTTCTGTTAAAATCGCTCGTCAACATGTCCGACAAATTACCGACAAAAATTAATTGACTTATGCTTTCTGAGAATAATTCTTTTGCCGTGTTCACACTCTTCATGGGAAGACAATTCCGGACATGGCCATGTGAAAAACGCCAAGGTCTTTTAGAATTCTTCTGAAGCATACGATTGACTTCTGCGGATATCGAAGTTTCCAGTACGGTTAACCTACACGGTAGCACTTCAGCTATTGATGTAAATCGTTATTAGCTTCGTAACAACAGTAATGATTTTAACATGACTCAGTGCCAAGAAACCACTCCCGAACAATATGTTACACAAGTTTCTGTGCGCTTAACGACTGGCGGATGTTGTTGTTGAATTGTATGAAAGGAGGACGGGGATATGAACAATGAACAATGATTTATAACGGGTCAAAAAGCAGGTGCTTGACATGTCTCGTAGGGTGTTTAGCTTGACAAAAAGAAGATAGCGAAGGGATAATGGAGTCGTCAGTTCAGGCGCTTACAGAGGTAACTGCGCTATCGTATAAATGGAGTTTGAAATGAGAATGTATGCACACAAAGCAACAGGGGAGTGGTTATTGTTCACATCATAGGGGAGAAAAATTAATAAAGATAGCAAAAGACAACGCTTACTCGTGTGCAACTATTTTGGGTCGACAAGGTACAGAAATCCAGTTTCTATAGTAGTAACGTTTAGCAAATTTCGTGCAAGGCGTTTGGAGTGACTCATTCTCGATTAGGGTTTTGGCACTATCGTATGGAACTCTAGGATTACTCGCTGCCTCCTTCGAATATGGTGCATGACTAAGCGCCACTAAAAAGGTGGCAACTTTTCTGTCCTAAGCTTGTTATGACGTTACCTGTCGTGAACAGTGCGGAGCAATTGGGAGAGGTGCCATACAAGGAATGGAACTTGGTTTCAAACTGGTGTGCTCAAATTAGCCAGCCTGAATTGTCAGTCCCAACACCACATGGTTACAGTGCCGCAGAAGGAGTCATCGGGCTCATTCACATCGAAGAGCACCACATATTGCGTTAAATTTCATTGAGGTGATTTAAAGAGCTAGGCTCAATAAACTTAATTATTTTGCTTGCATTGTACCTTTACCTGCAGTGGATCAAACACGGTGAGTTTTGTTGTAGCGCCAAATGCTGGTGGACCAGCAGAAGACTGTGAAAATCTGCCATGCTTGGAACTCCAAAATCTGGCCACGACGACATATGCAATTGCGTTATTTCGAGTGTATTTGCCGGCTGGGTGATTTCGCAACGATGCGATTGCCACTAAAACGGACAATGATGGACGAGTATGAGTGTGGACACAATGCGGCAGACGATAGCGATATACCAGGATAGGACAGTCAAACCATCAATAATAACGATAAGGTTAAAAGATGTAAACAAATTACCGGGAATGACTAATCACTGTTACTTACCATAAACAACAGTGTACAAGTCACCAGTGTTATCAGTGTGGTTCCCACTAGAAATAAACTGCCAAATGCAGTGTGCCAAACCGAAAGACTGTCTAATGCACGAAATACCGATCAGTGGTAAAGAGCTTATCAAAATTGGTGGGTGTACACTCACCAGCGTCAAGTTCAAAGTGCGGTTGATGTATGCAGGTGTTACCACTTCATTGGTAAGGGTAACAATTAGCTCATCCGCGCCTGATGTGTACACTGCGGTCTCACCTTGTGTGGCAGGCCAATACCTGGCGCATTTTTCTCTACCCGCTTCCATTAAACTGTGAGTTAAAAGGACGATTAGACGCAATTTATTATGGCTGTACAACTGACAGTGATTTATGCAGCGATGCGGCGAACCGCCATTAATGAATTGATATTGCTAGGTAAAGCATAAGCGAATGGGCCGAGTCGACGTGAGCAACGGAATTAATGAAATACCAATAGCTTATATCATTGGATCGGAGCTCTGGTCAGTTTAGGTGACACAACTTAATGCTGCATATATATATATATATATATATATATATATATATATATATAGTAAACCGTATCAGTCCGGCTCAGTGTAACCGGCACTCTATCGATGAGATGAGCAGAAAACTGTAAGATAACCTAGGTGGGGATAGTGGGACTAATAGAACTAAGCAGGTATCCCGAACGATATACCCAAAGTTGCTTGTTGCCTCAAATGAAGGACACTGAAGTACCGATTGCATGTACTTACCCGGTTAGCATAATAATGATGGCAGTATTTTGTTCTATAACCATTCGCCAAAAGTCACCAACGGTGTTCTCTAGAGGTGCCTGTGATGCAATAAAGCGAACCTCCTTTCGATCCAACCATGGAACTGACCATTTTTCCAATAATGGTGGAATGGCGTAGATGAAATTGGCGTTTATGTATTGTGGAGGCTTCAGGAAAGGAAGTGGTGAACACAATGTGTTGTCAACTCGTGGCATCGCAACATCACAAGTTTACATGTATATCATCGGTTTCTGAGACAAAAGAGGTCATTCGTCAGCTTTCACATTCTAGTGCAAATTAAATAATTCATCATGGGAAAGTAGAGGCTGTTCGTAATTTCAGCTGGACGCGCGCAAGTGCAAACGATCCCTCATACCGATCACCGGAAATTCTGAAGAAACCAATCGAAAGGGCCTGCGCATAGCCAATTGCTTCGGATTGAAATAAAACACATCGGTCATCAGTCGCCATTGGGTTGCTTCTCTCTCTTTTTCTCCAAAATATGCAGTTTTTTCCGTTCCAATTGCTCTGATTTTCGTGTCCACCGACAGTTATCCAGCCTAGGTTCATATTTGGCTGTCCCTGTACAGCACTCAGCCGGAGCCAACCAATAATCGAATGGATAGAAAAGCCAGCTGGTTATGGCGACTACTTTTGGGTCTATAAGTGCGAGTTCACTTTTTGGCATTCAAGGAAAATCATATCAAAAATGGTTGTTTAAGCTGCTACCACACAGTTAACGGTCGCTTCGCTCTATCAGGGTTCAGACCAATAGGATACGTCACAGAAGACCTATGGGATTCAATCCAGTACT